ATTAACCAGAAGCTGTTGCTGTGATGATGTTGCTGCAAGGACCACAGGTACAGAAGCCTAGAGGCAAAGACCGAGGGTGCAGTGAACAAGGGTGCTCTGATGGCCCTGGTGGGAGCCTAGATGTCAACCCTAGGGACAGTGTCCCCTGTTCTCACCCCCGGGCTGGAGACAGAGGGCAGGTTTGGTTGTTTGTTCTTCACTGAAAGAAAGAAGCAAGGACTTGGGTCTGAAACTGCAGGAAGGTCTCTGGGCCCCTGGGCAGTGGTATGTACATCAGGGATCCAGGGATGTGGTGCCAAAGGCTTATCAACCAGCTCCGTGTTCATGCACACACACACACACACACACACACACACACACACACAGCAATGCATGGCTATCAAGAATGTGTATCAACCAGCTCCGTGTTCATGCACACACACACACACACACACACACACACACACACACACAGCAATGCATGGCTATCAAGAATGTGTATCAACCAGCTCCGTGTTCATGCACACACACACACACACACACACACAGCAATGCATGGCTATCAAGAATGTGTATCAACCAGCTCCGTGTTCATGCACACACACACACACACACACACACACACACACAGCAATGCATGGCTATCAAGAATGTGTATCAACCAGCTCCGTGTTCATGCACACACACACACACACACACACACACACACACACACACACAGCAATGCATGGCTATCAAGAATGTGTATCAACCAGCTCCGTGTTCATGCACACACACACACACACACACACACACACAGCAATGCATGGCTATCAAGAATGTGTATCAACCAGCTCCGTGTTCATGCACACACACACACACACACACACACACACACACACACAGCAATGCATGGCTATCAAGAATGTGTATCAACCAGCTCCGTGTTCATGCACACACACACACACACACACACACACACACACACAGCAATGCATGGCTATCAAGAATGTGTATCAACCAGCTCCGTGTTCATGCACACACACACACACACACACACACAGCAATGCATGGCTATCAAGAATGTGTATCAACCAGCTCCGTGTTCATGCACACACACACACACACACACACACACACACACACAGCAATGCATGGCTATCAAGAATGTGTATCAACCAGCTCCGTGTTCATGCACACACACACACACACACACACACACACACACACAGCAATGCATGGCTATCAAGAATGTGTATCAACCAGCTCCGTGTTCATGCACACACACACACACACACACAGCAATGCATGGCTATCAAGAATGTGTATCAACCAGCTCTGTGTTCATGCACATGCACACACACACACACACACACACACACACACACACACACAGCAATGCATGGCTATCAAGAATGTGTATCAGCCGGGCGTTGGTGGCGCACGCCTTTAATCCCAGCACTTGGGAGGCAGAGACAGGCGGATCTTTGTGAGTTCGAGACCAGCCTGGTCTACAAGAGCTAGTTCCAGGACAGCCTCCAAAGCCACAGAGAAACCCTGTCTCGAAAAACCAAAAAAAAAAAAAAAAAAAAGAATGTGTATCATATACTTTGCTAATAAAAATAAAATCTACAGGGGCTGGAGAGATGGCTCAGTGTTTAAGAGCACTGGCTGATCCTCCAGAGGACCTAGGTTCAGTTCCCAACACCCAGTTGGTGGCTCACAACCGTCTGTGACTCCAGTTCCAGAGACTCGGCCCCTCCTGGCCTCCCTAATACTGCACACATATGGTACACAGACACACGTGCAGGCAGGGCCGACAGACACAGAAATAGAAATAAATACTTGTAGCTAGGTGCGATGGTGCATGACTTCAGTCCCAGCACTCAGGAGGCAGAGGCAGGAGGATCTCTCAGTTTGAAGCCAGTCTGATCTACAGAGTGAGTTCCAGGACAGCCAGGTATTCACAGAGAAACCCCATCTCAAGCAAAATAAAACAGCATATTTAAAAATTAAAATAATAACAATAGCATCAATAGATTTACATAGCCAAGCATGATGACATGTGCTCTTGTCCTAGCCCTCAGGAGGCTGAAGTAGGGACATCGATTCTACTTTTCTGAAGATTTCAAATGATTAGTTCATTTGCATGGAACCTTTTTCTCTGTATTGTTTTGGAGCCTGTCCTGGAACTTGCTCAGTACACCAGGCTGACCTCAAACTCACAGAGATCCGCCTGCCTGCTGGGATCAAAGGCGTGAACCACCAACGCCCAGCTTGCATGGAACCTTTTTGGCAATTCTCATCCCGACTCCTACATCAACAGTGAGTGAAGTAGTGTGACTTCTCGGGAAAACGGGTGGGCAGTGCCTGTGCCTCAAACAACAGCATGTGGGGATTCACTGGGTCACCAAGATGTAGGCAGCCCCTTCCCTGAGAAGCTGGCAGAGGCAAGAACTGATGTTTGAGGAAAGCCCTCAAGGTTGGCCGCTTTCTCAAACCCAGTAGCACACAGAATAACAAGGCAATCCCTGGATTGGGCCTTTGGGAAATTTCCTACCAAAGCCAACTTCAAACTTCCGAGATAAAATTGCTGAACATGGAATTGGGAAGGACTGTACGGTGACCTGCCACCCTTCAATGTTCCTGCCATTCAAATGTGATAGGGTGTATATGAGGGGTTTGGAAATGGCACAGTGAGTTGTGAGGAACCAGGACATGACTTGGTGATACCGGAGATAGACTACACGTTTAGCACAATTGAAGGGCTTTGTTCCTAGTGCACACACACACACACACACACACACACACACACACACAGGCTTCAAAATTACTGACTGGGGAGCCAGAGAGATGACTCAGTGGTTAAGAGCACCAGTTGCTCCTCCAGAGGACCAGGGTTCAATTCCCAGCACCCACATGGAGGCTCACAACGATCTGTAACTCCAGTTCTAGGGAGATGCAGGATTCAGTGCCCTCTTCTGGCCTCTGAGGACACCAGGCATAGCTGTGGTGCATATAGCATACCTACAGGCAAAACTCTTATACATATTAAAAACAAAAATGGGGAGTCTACTTGGTAAGACCAGAGGCAGAGTACTTGCCTACCATGTGCAAGCCCAGGGTCAGTCCCCACCACCACAAGTGAAAAGCGGAAGTGATGAGCTCTGTGTACTTGTCACCTGGTTTAAACAGAATCTATGGTGAGTCTACATAATTCTGGGTTTAGCAACCAGTTCTCACCCAATTCCTAAGAGTCTGAGAGTGGGCTTTCTCAGCAAGGCTTCCTACCCCTGTGAAGGAACCACAAGCCAAAAAAGTCCTATTGGGTGAGTTTAGAGCACTGAGTGATAGAGGCACTTGCCTCCTCAAGTCTGGTGTTTTAGCTCTGGGACCCACAAGAGCAAGAGATCAGGGAGCAATGGGTAAAATCGATAATCAGGAGCCCAGGCAGCCAGGTCCATCTTGTCAACCTCCTGGGCCGTTTAGCCCTGAGGACTCAAGCCTCCAAGCCTGCCCTGCAACTGATGGGCCAGCAGCTGTGCCTCCAAACCCACCTGATTCCTGGCATCCCACTGTCCCACTGCGCTGGGATTCTCCCTGTACATCCCCCTTCCCAGACACGTGTGGGACCGGGCGACAGAGTGCTCTCCGAGGCCACCCCACCCCCCTCACAGGCTGGGGAGGAGAGTCCAGGCCAGGGCATTGTCCTGACCTACAGTATCCCTGCCCTGGGAATACTCCTGCCCAGAGTCCCAGAATCCAGACTATAGTAAGGAGAGAGTCCCTCAAATAAACCCATTGTCTTGCAGATGAGGAAATAAGGCTAAGAGTAAAGTCACAAAAACCTAGGACCATCCATTTACCCTCAATGCAGGGGTTCTGGGCCCACCTGGAAAGGGAAGGAGGCATGGGCCCACCCCAGGGCTGCTGCCCAGCGGGACATTCCAAAGGAAGAAACACAGGCCCCATCTGGGTGTTCCGACCTTCACCTCTGACTGGGAGCCTGCCCTGGGGGCTTCCCACCTGCCAACCATGCTGCTGAGGACTTCCTGGCCCTGGAACATAACAGAGCCTCCTCCCTAGTGCCCAAACTAACTTTGTCTACAACCCACTCCCTGACCACAGCTAGCCAAGGCAGCAGAGACGGATATGCAAATAGCCTGCCCTGGTATTAATACGAGATTCCCCCCAGGGGAGGCGTGTGGAAAGTGCTGGTGTGTTTCACAATTCTGTTTTGTCCAGAGGAGCCGCGCGGGGGCCCAGAGTGATTTAAAACAGATTTTTGAAAAGGCAAAATAAAATTGGAACAAAACCTAGTCAAGGCATGAGCCACACTCCCCACCCCCAGCGCTCTCCCACCCCTGACGGCAACCCTTTTCCTCTCAAGCCCTGGGGACCCTCTAGGCAGCAAGGTGAGGTAGCGGCAATGGGTACTCCCTCCTAGCAGAGAGCGCCTGGCCCAGCTAGTGCCCCGACATCGCCTTCCTGACAGCTGAAAGCGGCTTGAAGAACCGAGGCTGCTTGCCTCCTCTGCCCCTTCCTAAGGCAATACATACTCAGTCCAGTCTGTTCTGTCCACACTTCCTCCCCTCGCCCCATGCCTGGAATAAAGACCCAGCTCTGTTGCTTGTCGATGGCACTGATGGGTTGTGTGACCTAGACAAGTCGTTCCATCTCTCTGAGTCATAGCATACAAGAAGTGGGAGAAAAAGAGTCATACCCTCTACTAGGAAGGGGGAATCCCTGGAACTCCCTAAATATTCCCGTAGTAGCCCGCTCCACCAGTGCCCGGCACTATGCCTGAGACGTGCGAGAGCCCCTTAAAGATCTTCCGGATAACCACTCTGTTTAAAGATGGAAAGGGACACCGGGAGGCCCAGAGAGGGAAAAGAATTTGCCCAAGGCTACACAGCGATGTTATCTCGGCTCGCATCCAGACTCCCTCTCCAGGCCCCAGCGCTCTAGGTGAGTTCGAGGAAGTGGCCCCTCCTCTCTCCACCTGCACGCGCCAGCCTCCTGGGGACAGCATTGGTACTCACCGTGGAGCGGGTCTAAACCTCCCGGACCGAGCTCCCCTCGGTCCTGCGCCGGCTGGCTGTCACTGTGTGCGGGCGGGCGGAGCTCCCCGCGGCCGACTGGCCACCGCGAGTGCTGGTTCTGGGAATGCACTCGGTGGCCCCTGTATCCGGCTGTCCCCAGCTCTGGCCGCTGCGATAGAGCTTATCTGGCGGGTGTCAGGGTGCAGCGGCCGAGGGACCAGGGTTCCCGGAAGCCTCCAGCCCCGGCCCTGCGCCCCCGGATGCCGCGCTGGCCCTTCGTGTCACCGCGCTGCACGGACACTCCCCTGCCGTAGCTGCAGGAGGCCACCTCCTACTCACATCTCGACTGATTCCAAGTCTGTGCAAGTCTCGTGGCCCTCGAAGATTCAAATTAATTACGCGGGGGTCCGATGCCTGCCTGGCTTCTAAGGGAGTGGAGGGGACGCCTGCAAGTTTCTGTTTACTGCGAGCAGCGGGGCTGCAGCTAATCACTCACAGGCAGGGACCGGCTCCCTCTCCCCAGCTTCTGCCATGTACCTCCCTCAGGCCCTAGTCCTTTGCTTGGGACAAGTGTGAGCTGACCCGGTTTCCCAGCCGGGGATCCCCCTCTGCACCACGCTTTGTGGGGTGGGGGTGGGGCAAAGGGAGGGTCCCAGCTTCTGCAGACCCCTTTAGTTTTTTGTCTTGTCAGTTGGTCACTCACTCACTCATTCACTCATTCATTCACTCACTCACTCCTCACTCACTCACTCACTCATTCACTCACTCATTCACTCATTCACTCACTCCTCACTCATTCACTCACTCTCACTCATGAGGAGAGAGCACATGCCAGAACACACCTGGGGAGCCAGCTCAAGTTGTCAGGCTTGGCAGCCAGCAATTCGGGTTTTTGAATTTTGTGTTCTTTTTTTTTTTTTTGAGACAAGGTCTCAAGTAGCCCAGGATGGCCTCGAATTCACTGTGTAGCTGAGGATGACAGACTCAAGCCATCTGCCACACCCAGCTTGACAGGAACTTTGAACAGCAGGAATGAGCATCTCCAAACAGCAGAACATCCACATGCATACATATACACATACACACATACGTATATACACATACACATATACATACATATACATGCATATATACACATACACATAAATATACACGTACACACATACATATACATGCATATATACACATACACACATGTACACACATACATATACATGTACACACATACATACATATACATGCATATATACACATACACACATGTACACACACATACATATACACATTGTCACATATACATACATATACACATACACACATGCATGTACATATACACACGTACACACGAACATACACATATATAGACATGTGCGCACATACATGCATATACACATATATGCCCACACACACAGACACACGCGCGCAGGTTGGTACAAGAAATGGAGAATCGCTGACCTTAGCCTTTACATAACAGCCAGTAGACTAAAAGGGAAGTGAATTGGACTCCAGGGCAGGAGGCAACCCCTAGAAGGATGCTGTGGCCTGCGTTTGTAATGGTAAGTGGGAGGCTAGACGGGACATAGCAATAACAGCAAAAACAAAAGCCCAAAACCCCCGTACTTGTAGAAAAAACAGAGCCTCAAGCCTGTGTGCTAAGTGTGAAGGCCGGGGGAGGGGGGGGGGCTGAAGCTCTGTGGGGAGAGAGCTCATCTTGCACACGTTAGGACCTGGGTTCAATCCTCAGAAAACACAGAAATGACCTCCTGCAACCCTGCCCAGGGAAGGAAGGCAACGATCCAGGTGGGAGCCAGCCCGGCCGACACAGCAGCTGCGGGCCATGACGGACTGAGTGGAGGCCCCGAGGAGGCACGCTGGCACTCTGTCCCTCCACGCACACGTGCACACGCACAATCACCAGTGTGGCACACGCAACTGGAACAGAGTGGTGGTTTTTAAGTTGCTTAATTTAATCCATTTAGTCAGTTAATTGACTAAGTCTCTTTTTTTTTTTTTTTTTTTTGCTGTGTGCGGGCCTGCCACATGACAGGTGGGTACACCCCGATGTTCTTCTCACTTTTGGGGACAGGATCTTTCCTGGTTGCCCATATGAACCTGAAGTTCATATGAACCTCAAGTTCACCCTGTGATTCAGGCAGGCCTTGAGCTCGTTCTCCCGCCTCAGCCCCCAGAGTAGCAAATGTCGGGAATTACAGGACTACAGCACCAAGCCCCGACTCCCATCTTATGTTTTTAACACAGGGGACTCAAGTGGAGTGACAACTCACACATCTAATCGCAGCACTCAAGAAGCTAGGGCAGGGAGACCAGGAACTCAAGGCCAGCCTGGGCTACATAAGACCATGTCTCTAAAACAGAAAAGCAAGGTATGAGCCGGGTGTTGGTGGCACACGCCTTTAATCCCAGCACTCGGGAGGCAGAGGCAGGCGGATCTCTGTGAGTTCGAGACCAGCCTGGACTACCAAGCGAGTTCCAGGACAGCCTCCAAAGCCACAGAGAAACCCTGTCTCAAAAAACCAAAAAAAAAAAAAAAAAAAAGAAAAGAAAAGAAAAGAAAAAGAAAAGCAAGGTATGGTGTAGGCGTCTGTAATTCTAGCACTGGGGAGGTAGGGGCAGGAGCATCAGAAGTTCAAGGACATCCTCAGCTACATAGCAAGTTTGAGGCCAGCCTGGGCTACATGAAACCTATCTCAAAAAGCAAATAAAGAAAAGAACAAAGTCTTTAGATGTTGTCCAAGCTGGCCTCCAACTCCTGGACTCAAGTGAGCCTCCCAAGAAACTGGCCTATGTCATGTGCCCTGGTGCCCAGCTAATATAATCTTGACTGTGTAGGATGTCCCTAACACACTAATGAGATGAAACATTATTAAAATAAATATAGGAAGAGAGAAAGAAGCCCGGAATGACTGCAAACCAAGCTGAAATGTGTCCTCTTGATGGACATACATACACGCAGGCAAATACCCATAAACATAAAATAAAATAAATAAACCTTTAAAAAATTTTCAAGGCAAGCATTAGGCTCCAACTTCACCTTGGAATTCTGTGAACTCTACCTTGAATCACACTGAGAGGTTTTCAGGGGCCTGAGCAACAGTGAACCACCACCACAGGCTGACAGTCTTCCAGGTTGGACAGCAACTGGTCACCCCCAGGAGCTGAGTGTCCCAGGGTACTCCCCAATCACAAGGTTCTGTGCTGGGTGACAGCTCAGTTTCAGCAACATTACCTTCTCAAGCTCACAAACCATGGGGAGCATTTGACGGAATAAGTGCAAGTTCAGAGGTCACAGGAAGGCCCTAAGATAGCCCGTTTCAGCCAGGCATCCCGTCCCTTTTACTGCCCAGGGTTCCTGACCCTTGCTGAGTTTGTTCTGTGATATCACGGGACTCCTCCAGGGGGCGCTGTCCCATTCTGCACTGGGCAAATCCCTGCTGATGGTAGAGCCCTGCAGGGCAGTCACCATAGAAGACAAATGACGTGCTCCCCCGTGCCAGGCCTGAGTCTGTCCTCTGGTTCCCAGCATAACCAGATGTCACGGTGTTTTCCTGTGGGGGAGTCCCACCGGGATGGGACCCATGCTGACACTGATATCATGTGACAAGGTAGGCTGAGCAAGGCGGCAGCCCGGGGTCTCCTGGGGAAATCTCCCAGTCCCAATAGGTCTGGAGAGTCTCCCTTTGAACAGACCTGCCTTTCACACCTCCACGAGACTGGCTAGTTTCTCTTCCTAACAAAGAGAGTTAGTGCAGAAACAGCAGCCCCAGGCTTAGGGCCCTCCCTGTACACACAGAACCTAGGAGAAATCAAGAGGACCAGAAATTATATCTGCTGCGGACACGCTCCCTTTGTACATGTATCCATGTACTGTGCTGCATGCATGCGTGCTCGTGTGTGTATGTGTGTGTGCATGCTCGTGTGTATGTGTGTGTGCATGCATGTGTGTATGTGTGTGCATGTGTATGTATGTGTGTCTGTCTATCTGTCTGTCTGTTTAAGTGCCACAGTGTGTATTCAGAAGTCGGGATCAGTTCTCACAGGTCCTGAGGATTAAACTCATGTCGCTGGGTTTGGTAGTGAGTACCTTTATCCACTGAGCTATCTGTGGGTCGCCTATCTTTAATATTTTAAAGTTTAAAAATGGAGTCACCTGATAAGGGAAAATAAATTCAACCCTAAGGAGACATGGGGTTTAGATAATGACTGTGCTAGCATTTGTCCCTTAGCTGTGGTGAGCATTGCACAGTGACGAAAGCAGGCCCATGAGGGAACAACAAGAAATCTATGCAGACCCCTCCACACACAGCAGCCATCCTAGAACTAAAGACAGCCCTTTAATCCTGTCATTCAGGAGGCAGAGCCAGGCGGATCTCTGTGAGTTAGAGGCCAGCCTGGTCTACAAAGTGAGTGGCAGGACAGTCAGCAGGACAGTTACCCTGAGAACCCTGTCTCAAAAAAAAAAGGTTCATTAGGACACAGTGGCTGCTGTACCTGGAAGACAGAGACAGGAAGATTTCAAGACCATCTTCAGGCACTATGTGAGTTCAAGGCCAACCTGGGCTGCATGGGGCCCAAACAAAACAAAACAAATGGTCATTTAAACTTTAGGACTTCCCCCTCCCTTATTTTTTTGTCTGGATATGTAACCCAGGTTGACCTTGAATTTGCTATGTAGTCCAGGCTGACCTCAAACTTGAGGAGATCCTCCTACCGTAGGCTTCAAGTGCTGAGATTTTGGATGTACATTATCATGCCAGCCCTAGAATGTTTTAAATATTTCCTTACTTATGCAGTGCTGGAGATGAACCTAGGGTCTGGTACATGCTAGACAAGGGCCCTCACTAACTACACCCTCACCATTACAAATACCTTTAATGGGCCCACCGTAAAGGGAAACATGTTTTTTGTTTATTTGCTTGTTTGTTTATTTTTGAGACAGGGTTGTAAGTAGAGTTTTTTGTCAGGACCACCAGTTAGCTCTGACCCAGCAGCTGCTACGAAATAACCACGCTGAAACTTAACACTAATTATAAGTGTTCAGACAATAGTGTAGGCTTGTCTCCAGCCAGTTCTTACAATTTAAATTAACCCTTTTCTGTTCATCTATGTGCTGCCCCGAGGCTACTTCACTTTATCTAGGAACTTCCCATGTCTGGCCTCCTATGTCTTCCCTGTCTGGCCCAAGGCCCCTCAGACTCTGCGCCCATATTCCTGCCTAACTGTCATCCCATCAGCGTCTTACTAACAACGAGAGCAACACATTTTCACAGGGTACAGAAGGATTATTCCACAGCACAGGACCTGTCTACATAGTCCTAGAACTCACTCTATAAACGAGACTGGCCTCCTCAAACTCATAGAGATCTACGGGCCTCTGCTTCCCAAGTGCTGGGATTAAAAGTGTGTACCCCATGCCCAGCTGAAAGTCTTTTTTTGTTTGTTTTTGT